TAAAAAAATTCCATTTGTTCCAAACCTTTCTTCTGCGAAATTCAAAGGAAGATGTTTTGAAGAACATTTGGAACGAAATAACTGGAGACCATTGACTGTTGAATGCAAAAACATCTATTTCTCAATATCTTGTTTTATGCTCCACAGAAGAAATTCATACAATTTTGATCAACCTGCTGAGAGGGAGTACATGGTTTTAGAATTTTTATTGTTGGGTGAACTATCCCTTTAAGCTCCAGAAATGTTGTGGTTTTTATATCAGAATTGTCAATACATTAGCATAAAACGCAAATTTATCAAATTCATCATCATCAAATTTATGTCAATCAATGTCTAATTCTAAGGGTTAGGACACGGGTGGAAAATGGAACTAGAAACCTTCATTACCACTATAAGGGGACTTGGGAAAATGCGGAAAGCGAAACGGCATGGAATTGTTGACAAATGTTTTTCAGTTTTTTCCCCTCTATGATAGTGTCAGGGTGTTTTCATGACAAATTTGTGTTAATCATTACAGGTAACTGGTAACCTTGTGAAGACTAAGCTGAAGGTGGATGAACGTTTTGTTCATGTTCTCCCAATGAACACAGAGTGTATAGTACAAGGAGTGAAGGTCACTCTCCTGGATGCTAATCAGTGAGTGTATCTTCTAACTAATGAATGTTTGAAACCAATTTTATTTTTTTTTTTTTTACTTTCGTAGCTTTATTATTGTTTGGACTGTTCATACAGAGTAACAGAGTAAGACCTTAATTACTATAACTGTTTCTCCCCCCAGCTGTCCTGGGGCAGCCATGTTGCTATTTGTGCTGCCAGATGGCCAGAAGGTACTCCACACCGGTGACTTCCGGGCTGATCCGTCCATGGAGCGTTACCCAGAGCTGCAGGGTCTCAGGATACAGACCCTCTATCTAGACACTACGTGAGTTCCCTACTAACAAAGCTACTTTTCTGTTCTGCTTTCTGTTTCTCTTGTCCGCTTTTGATCACATCGACTGAGACTGATATTAATAGGTTTACATTTTTTTTAATCTTTTGTAGGTATTGCAGTCCAGAATATACATTTCCCACTCAACAGGAAGTCATCACCTTTGCTGTAAACATAGCTTTTGAACAGGTCACACTGAACCCTCGTACACTTGTGGTGTGTGGCACCTACTCAGTTGGGAAAGAGAAGGTCTTTCTAGGTGAGTGACAATATGTTGTCCTGCTTTGCCCTGCCCTTTTGTAGACCTTGTGCTTCTTTATCCACTCTTGAAAGGACAGATTGTTCGCCTTTCTATAAACTGTAACTATCATGAATGACACTCATAAAAACAAAAATAGTTTGCAAATGCTGTCCTTACTTGACTTTGAAATGTTCCCGATCAGCAGTTTGTCTGACTGGCTTGCTATTCATTTTACAAGATGCATCCATGATTAATGTCCTATGCCCATTTACTTGAAAACACTGATCACACAGTAGTGTTATCTCCGTTCACCAGTAATATGAAATCTCTTTTGACTGTCTTGCTTGTTTACTGCTTTCCAAATCTAAATGGGTTGATTTTAATTCCTTGTGTATATAGAGATAACATTTTTTACCTGTCCCACCTGTTCTTCTAGCTGTATCGGAAGTGTTAGGCTCTAAAGTATGCTTGTCCAAGGATAAGTATAACACCATGTGCTGCCTGGAGTCCGAGGAGATTGGCCGGCGCATCACTACAGACTGGCAGGCGGCCCAGGTGCATGTGCTACCTATGATGCAGCTCAATTTTAAAGTGAGTTTAACTATATTAAAAACCTCTTCGATTTGTTTCTCATATGTCAGTTACAAATTATGAAATGCATTTTTTGCTGTTTGAGATCATAAGCTTATAAAAAGAGCTGATTATGCGAAACACAATCAATGAGGCTATGTTTACTTATTCAATTTGGAGTTTAAAATTCATGCAGAGTTCAGTGTTATCGTAAATTTTCCTTGACAGCGAGTTTATGCTAATGTAGGAGGAAAAAATTAGGATTGTAATTACAGAGACCAAGTGCCAACGCAGCAGTTCTGGCACCGGCGGTAGCACTGAATGAGTCTGAAAGTTAATTCTAATGAGACTGTTGCAGATAATAAAGATTAGTCATGTGATGTGCACTAAACCATTATACTCCACTTTTCTCACACATGCCAATGTAGAGGAAAAATTGCATGGCAAGGTTAATTGTAGATTGCACAAAATTTCCTTTTGCAGCAACATTGAAAAGTAATTATGTAAATTGAAAGAAAGAAAGAAGCTGCAATTTGGCATCATTTGACGTTTGATTACCCTGTAACTTTTTCATGGCAGCACGTGCTATGTAAGCTTGCTTCTAAAACTAAATAAAAAGGTAAATGTGACACTCTCACACTTCTAACATTTTTTTTTCTAGCACATCTATGTGAGATATAAACTCACAATTGTGAGTTAAAGTCGGAATTGTGAAATATTAACTCGCAATTGTAAGAGAATGTCAGAATTAGGAGCTGACTTCTATCCATCAGAATTGAGACTTTATAACTTGCAATTAGGAGTTTGTGGAGAGTTTTCCCAATACAGGGAACTTTATCCAAAAAAATCTATATGTTTATATGACTTGATGGAATTATTTTTATTTTATTTTTGTTTTTTCCTTTCATGTTTTCACACCCGTCCTTTCTTGACTGTACAGAACCTGCGGACACACTTGAATAAGTTTTCCAGGAAGTATGACCAGCTAGTGGCCTTCAAACCCACAGGCTGGACCTTCAACCAAACAGTGAGAGTGGAAGACATTCAACCACAGACCCAAGGGAACATCAGTATCTATGGTATGTGTCAGTCTATTTATAAAGGGTTTAATAAAAATTATTGTATTTATCCTAGTCGTTATAGTAAGTGTTTAAGTGCAGTTAGGGAAGTGAATGTACAACAGAAGGTGTTTCTGTAATACCATATTTGCATTTTTATTTTATAAGAGGAAAAAAAAAAAAACCCAACTTTTCCTCCTGTTTGTCTAGTGACTTGAAGTGCCCTAGGCAAAATAAGTGTGTATTTTTGTCATCCTTTTAATTCAAAATGGAAATAAGGCATTTGACAAAGCAATTAAAGAACACATCATTTTACTCCATTTGACAGTTTAATGGTAGTTTAATAGGTTTGCTCCATTTTGCTTAGTTGTAGGCCTTTACAAAAAACAAAGAGAAATGTATGCAGAAATCACGTTATATTTTATTGATGTGTCACACACCATCCTTTCCTTAATAAGATATTAAAAGAATTGTTTTCTATTAAACTGATTTTCAGTAGACGCAACATAGCCGTGTCATTATGTTCCACTAACTGACGAGATTAAACCTATGGCTTTGTATGTGGAATGTAATTACATTGTATGTATTTATTTTCACCCTTACAGCAGTTGTAGGTAATGCTGAATGTTGTTTCAGGCTAAGAACAGCATGCCTTGTATTAAGTGAATCAGCAGATGAGTTTTTCTCTGGGTCAAATCACAAGATGTCAGATTTTGCAAGCCCAGGGTTTTAATTTCAGAATATCAGCGATCTTTCAGCCGAACCAGGTGCTGCCTCAAGCGCTAGATGCATCTCATTTCACAAGCTCCGCTGGAACCTGAGACATCCAACGTGGGAATTAATGGGAATTTGTGCTTGTTACAGTATTTCAGGTCTTTACACAAAGATTTTTTTATTTGTAAAATAATGGTACAAAAGGTTAGAATATGACTCTGCGTAAGCAGCAGAAATCATTGTTGGTTCACAGACTTTTGACAATGACAAAAACCTATTTTTTTATAAATAGGTTTTCCCATCATCTGAAAGATATTGAAAAATACTTTACTACTCTATACTTATCTATTCCAGGTATTCCCTACAGCGAGCACAGCAGTTATCTAGAGCTGAAACGTTTTGTGCAGTGGCTGCAGCCGAAAAAGATCATCCCCACTGTGAATGTGGGCAGCTGGAAGAGCAGGAAAGCCATGGAGGGCTTCTTCTATGAGTGGCAGACTGAAAACAAGAAACCTTAGCTCGACACCATGAGCCCTGAGAAGCTCAAGCTGTGGAACAAGGCAATAAAGTAAACTGACATCCACAATCAAACCTTTGACCAAACAGTCAGATGGTGCTTTTTTTGATTGGACCTCTGAGTGTTTTGGGCTGCCTTCTCACATTTGAAAAGAAGGGACTTTAACCTGCCATTTAAGTGCTGGTTGCACAACGGTTAATAGTGTTTCATTTTTACTATTTGGCTCCCTTGCCTGTTTTTACCTTGCCAGTGGCTACTGCTGGAATGGACCACATATGCCCTCCTATTTTAGGAGGATTTTTTAAACTCAAAGTTTCTAAAGGAAATAAATCATTTCTATTCACTTTACTCTTGTTTCACACTTGTACTAATGATTTTGTTCTCTGAATTGCATATTTTTATTTTATACTTATACTATATTTTATACTTATACTTTTATACTGCACATACAAGATAACATTTCCTGTAAGAAAAGTAATACATTTCAACACATGTAATCAACAGTTCTTTAGCAGGTAGTCAGTAGTTTCTTTTGTTTCTCATTTCAGTTAAAACAATACATTTGGGTTTGTTACAAACAAGCTTCGATGCTGCTGCAGTTTATAAAAAACTCATTATTTAGCAAGCCAATCAGAATGGGTTTATGCACAGCTGCACTACTTCCTCCTTGTTTCCTGTCTGCCATTATTGGCCAAATTGATTAATTCAGGTGTGCCTGACCTCAGTAGTCACGCCAATAATAATCAGACACACCTGAATTAATCAATTTGGCTAATAATGGCAGACAGGAAACAAGTGCATAAAGCCCATTCAAGATATAAGAATCCCAAAATGTAGGTTTTAAAATAATTCAGTTTGTGTCAGTTTGCCACCATGTGGTTACAGAACACACTGCAGATTCACAGGCAGTTAAAAATAGCATCAAAATACTGTTCAACATTTCTGTAATCCCAGCATTTTTAACTGCTACTGTAGAAGAAAGTTTGTCTCTTTTATTCATCTTTCCCTATTCTATACAAGTATAACAGGTTTTTCCTCTTTAGTAAGATTTAGTAGAACATGAACTCAGAAAGCCTTCGTGTAGGCTACACAGGAAAACAAGCTACTTGTTTTACTTTTGACAACCTGTATTTACAACCTGACGACCTGGGTTGTGTGAAAAGCTTTCAGTCTGTTTGGTATGGCACTAACAAATCATAAATTCCAGTGAAGTATAGTTTTAGAAGTCTCCACAAGCAAGTCTAGAAGTTATATTATGATAAAACAGATTTATCAGCGCATTTTGGTGTGAACTGATCTCCAGCTCAGTGCTGCTAGTTACTCACTGAGAAAAAAATGCATGAGAAACTTAATGAGAGAACAGTTGGTGCCTGAAAATCAGATGAAGAAGATAAACAACGTGCTATGAGATTAGATCGTTTAGTTTTGGTTCTCAGCAGGGTTCAGATGGAGAGGAATGGAGTGAGAGCCGTCGGATGGTCAATTTTACCTGGATGGGGAGCGAAAAACAAACAAGACAAAAAAATTCAACTATAGTTATATTGTTGCCCTGATTATTACAAAAACATTCTTGTACTCTGACTCTTGACTACCTCATCTTTGCTAAGTCTTTTTAGATATCTGTGCATCTCCTCCACTGTGTCTGTCAACAGGTCATTGACAGCCAGGATCTGATCCCCCTTCTGGAACGGACATGAGTCCTGAATCTGCTGACACTCAGACACACTGCGAGATGTGGAGGAAAACAGCATATATAAGAAGTATTTCACACATACATGCACATATAGAGGTGTATAGACGGATAGTAGGGCTGGATAAATTATGTCTAGATTTAATCAATTCTCATTTTGAAGAATCGATTCGATTTCTTAAATCCCAAGGATTGATCTTTTCAGTCTATGCTGTTTTCAGTTGACAAATGAATGGGACATTGTAGCACACCTCATCCAATAAATCAAGATAAGCTTTGTTATTTTTTTTTTTTTATATGAAGCAAAGTCTCAGCTTTCCAAGTCTGTCAGTTTTAACGAAATTTAAAGGGTTAGTTCACCCAAAAATGAAAATTCTGTCAGTATTTACTCACCCTCTTGTTGTTCCAAACCTCTATGTGTTTATTTGTTCTGCTATACACAAAGGAAGATATTTTGAAGAATGTTTTAATCAAACAGATCTCATTCCCCATTGACTACCATAGTAGGAAAATGGTAGTCAATGGGGAATGAGATCTGTTTGATTAAAACATTCTTCCAAATATCTTCCTTTGTGTTCAGCAGAACAAATAAACACATAGAGGCTTGGAACAACATGAGGGTGAGTAAATACTGACAGAATTTTCATTTTTGGGTGAACTAACCCTTTAAACTATAAAGACTGTTTTAGCATGAATTAATGTGGTGGGACAAACAGTTCAGTGTTTAAAGATACAATACAATGCCCAGCCCTAATATAAAATATAATGTAATGTAATTGTATAGAATATGATACAATATACAATATAATATAATGTATTGTATAGGCTAATTGTTGTTGTTACAAACATCCAAGCAAACTTGCATGAACTTAGCTGAAATTTTTTGAAGCAATGACTTTTCCTAATTTATCATTGAGAATTGTACCATGGCTTGCCCTCCTCCTCTGTAAAGATCAAGTTCTTCAGCTCACGATGACTTACGCAGATTTCCTTCTCGACAATGGTGTGCGTTTCACTGAGGAATGGAAAACATTGTCAAAATGTAAGTTGATTCCACCACAATTTCATAAGCAAAGTTGATTGAAAATATCTGAAAACTGCAGAAATTAGTTCACAAACAGTTGTTTTCCATTGAATTGCTCTTCTCACTAAGATAAATTATTTTAGGCACAGTTTTCATTGAAGTCACAGCAAGAGTTTTCAGAGTTATTGGTCTGGTTTCTTGCACAAATTCTAGGATGACATTGATTGATAACCCATTATGGTGGTGCAGAAAGTTACATTAAAAGAACATAGTTTTGCACTAAGCTTCAGATTGTATCCTCTAGGGGGTTTTGTACCTGTCTGACTCAGTTTGCTGTGTCAAAGAATTCAAGGCTTTTGTGACACAATCCAACAGACTGCCTTCAGATGAAGTCACGCTCTGCCTTGAGAGAGAAGCAAATAATTATCATTTATTATTTGCAGCACCGATCAGCAGCCATTTAAACATTACAGCACAAAGCCTATGAGTTTGTAAAATCAGAGAACTCATCTGCATGCAGAGTACATAAAAGAGTTTGCAAAATGACTCTTGATTACCACAAACATTAACTATTTTAAAATATGGAAATCAAATGAGCAGCAAATCAAAGACAAATTGGTCTATTAGACCACCTCATGCTTATTCAAGAAGGACACAAATTAATTTTTGTTATTTTTACCTGAGGGACAACAGTCACTGTTTAACAACTTAAAGAGAGGTAAAGTACGTTTAAATCTAGAATAAGTTTGTCATACCTTGATGACATTTCCTCTTTGTTCATCTCTGTATACACCTGAATACATAAAACAAAGGTATGTGGGTTTTTTGGAAGTTGGAATGAATCATGATGTAAGTGGGTGAGAGCCTGTTTTTATTGGTTTAACTATACAATACCTGTGTTGCAGATGGACTGTTCTTGGGTGGTTGGCTACATGGACCATACTGAGTGGTAACAACTTTAGATGCTGACTTCTTTGGAGGCAGTTGGGGTTGATTATCAACTTTAGTCTACAGTTAAGAAGAGGTAACGATCAGAAAAAATGCTGACATGAGTTATGTGGATTGAATTCCAGACACATACAACTATGTGAACGCAATGCTGATGAGTTACCTTGTCAGTGTCACGGAGGTTTTGGTCACTAGAGTTGGATTTTGCCTTGATCTGAGGTTCAGTTTGTGACTCCGATTTGATATTCTATTAACACAATTTGAAAATCATCAAATTACATTGATTAAGACTTACTTAAATGATAAAAATATATGAAACTGCTATATATTTAAAAAAGTAAAATATTGAATATATAATTTGAATAAAAAAATATGGTTTAATTTTTTTTCAAAGAGGGCATACTGATTATTACAGCTTTTCATATTAGGCAAAAAGTACAATGTCTAACCTTCAAAATCCCAGATAAAGCATTGAACCATCTCTCCACCTCCTCACTGAAAACAACAGAGCACATATAACAGCACTACAACTACTAGACTTTATTTACTGGCCTTTATGGTAAAACAATGATAGTCACAGCAAACCTGGTGTCTCCAATGAATATATATTCTCTTTGGGCTTTCTCTTTTGGATCTTCTGCTTTCATGAAGAGCACAGATGATGAAGAGCACCCGAAGTTTTTGCAGATCCATTCAAAAGTTGAATGCGATTCAGGACGCATATACAGCTTTGTGATGCTACATAAAAGAAACGAATTATATAATTGCATAATATTAATCATTTTTACTCATTTCAAAAACATCCAGCAGATTTTGTCTTACGTGGAAACCACTATCGATTTGATATGACTGTCTCTCTCAGTGGTTTTGTAGTATTTTAGCTCATGGCTGCTGTCTTTTGTCTTTGAAAGCACAAAGAAGCGACGTTTCCATGCTTTCTGCAATGGACAATGAAACTTGACATATAGACATAATACATGTAAACTGCTGATATTTGTGTTTAGGAAATCTAAATATTATACCTTATTTTTGATTAGACTAGAAGGAGGGGACTTGCACAGGTAACCTGAGTATACTTCATCTGCCTCAGCTGCTTCATTGTGACAGGAAGTACTGGAATCTTTTTCTAGAAGAGTACATGTGATCAACCAGACAATTAGAAAAATGTTGGCATCTTTTCAATGCCATTCTGGTTCCAGTCATTCTATTTTGTTCAAAATAAATTTTAGATATACCTGATTTACGTCTTGACATTTGGATGATGTTGACTGCTAAAACAGACATGATATGTGTTGTGAGTGATGTCTTCCTCACACGCATCAGACAATTGTTAAGCAATAAATAATGCTTGAGAATTTACAATATAGAAAAATCCACAGTGCGGTAGCTATTTTACACAAATGTATTCATAAAGTAAAAAACTATGACCTTTACACCAGACCTTAAAGGGACAGTTCACCCACTAAAACTAAAATATTGTTGTTTAATCACCCTCACGTCTTTACAAACTTATATGCTGTATTTTTGTGGAATACAAAAGGAGATCTTTTGGAAAAAAAAAGTCCATACAATGAGATTCAGTGGGTCTAATGTTGTTTTGTACAAAAACAACATTAGATTGTGTTCTGCAGAAGAAAAAATTAATACAGGTTTAAAAGAACATGAGGATAATGATGACACAATTTTTATACTGAGTGCTTTTCAGTGTAATTCTTCAAAGCTGCACCTATTGTAAGCAGTACTGTGTAGCCATCATTTCTTTATGTACTCAAATAAAACCAGGCAGTCATAAGATCAGTAGACCTGCAATGAATACATTACATTACCTTAACTACTGTATGTGTTGCAATTAAAACAGTGTCCTCCTTGCCGCTGTCCTGTTTTCAGAATGCATGTTATGATTTTGTCAAACTACTTATGTCTTCGAAGGAGGAGTTTCTAGTTATGTCACCAAAGAGTCCTCCCTTTATTGAAAGCATTTTATTTTTAGGTGTACGGAATTTTTTTAATGGAAACTAGCAGGTTATTACTGGTAATGACCAAAAGCGATGCGGGGTGATTTTCTTTTCCTTAATGGCTGTAGTTATTTATGGAATTCCTTCCAAATGCAAATCTCCAAGCATCTAGTAAAATCAGCTTCCTTGATAAAGGTGCACGCATGACCTTGTTGTTGGTAATTTATGATAGCATTAGAAGATGTCATATATATATAGATAATACTTACTGGAAATGTAATACATTTACATATGATTACCCATGGATGGGGCCATGTATCGCAAAATCTTGGCCAATAACCTCCTTCCCTCAGTAAGAGCATTGAAGATGGGTTGTGGCTGGCTCTTCCAGCATGACAACGACCCAAAACACACATCTAGGGTAACTAAGGTGTGGCTCCGTAAGAAGCATCTCAAGGTCCTGGAGTGGCCTAGCCAGTCTCCAGACCTGAACCCAATAGAGAATCTTTGGAGGGGGCTGAAAGTCTGTATTGCCCAGCGACAGTCCTGAAACCTGAAGGATCTGTAGAAGGTCTATATGGAGGAGTGAGCCAAAATCTCTGATGCACTGTGTGTTCATTAAAAATCAATGCAATGCAAATGAATTAGTTAAAAATCATACAATGTGATTTTCTGGATTTTTGTTTTAGATTTACATTTGAAGAGTACCTATGATAAAAATGACAGACTTCTACATGCTTAGTAAGTAGGAAAACCTGCAAAATCGGCAGTGTATTGAATTTTTGTTCTCCCCAATGTAGGTGAATTGAACTCAGTCCATAATCACTGAACTTTTCACAGTTCTTGAACTGAATCAGTGCAGTTTCAGAAATCACCACTAGAGAGGCCTATTCGCTGTAGACACCCTGGAGACCTACAGTATAACACCTAATTTGAGCTATCTGTTGACATTCCCATTTATCTCAGAGACATATGCAGTAACCCAGAAATTTGCAATCTGAGATCTCCCATCTTAGTTCTTGTGACAACAAAAGTTTTGAGGCAATAGTCAATTGCAGCCAGTTGCATCAAACACCATGTGTTAAGAAAACCCTTAGAAATTTCTTAGCATTTGTTTAGAAATCTAACTAGCACCATGTCTACTTCACTGGACGTGACAGTTGACACGTTGTGTTGCAACATCTAAAAGCTGTCTACACTGGACGCGACAAAGCAGAAGTATCATATGTGCTTGGAATATACGTCATGAGGTATCAGTTTACTGATGGTAATTTGTTGTCGTGCTGTGCTGTGCCGCACCACATCCAGTGTAGACCGCATCATTAATTATAATTGGTTGCATTGTTGCGTCGATTCACCCCGCTCGTGTCCTTTGTAGACATGGTGTTAACGTAACATTCTAACTCAATGAAGCATATTGTGTGTGTGCATTTTTGGGCGTTTGTTTACATCAATTCAAATTTTCCATACGAGATAAAGAAGAAAAAAAAACCCACTAGATATCAGTCATCAGGTAAAAGATGACAGCACTCCTCTGGTATGCTAAATCGTCTTTATACTAGGAAAGGGTTATCAGTTAAGAAGAAAAACTAAAGTAACAACACAGTTTTGATAAGCGATAAGCTAATAAAAGGAAATGTTTTGTTCATGCAATTTTTTTTTTACTGAAGTCAAATTATGGTTACAATATATTATTAGACTAAAACATTATTTAAAAATAATAATAATAAAATATATATCTATGTAAGGAAATTTGCAAATATGCACAAAAAAGTGTTGAAAAATGTTTTGTGGGTGTGTGGTGACTGGTAATCAGTTGTATCTGTGTTGTACAAAAAAAACATTCTGACAAAACTGATGGGAACAATATGTGAGAATAAGGACACACCTTTTTGCATTATCAAATCTTGGCTCCAGAAATACACACTACCAAATGTAAAAAGAAATCTTGGTTGGAAGGTTTTTACAATTTAAAATGACTGTATTCTATTTTAATATATTTTAAATTGTTATTTATTCCTGTGATGGCAAAGCTTAATTCTCTGCATCCATTACTCCAGTTTTCAGTGTTTCATGATCTTTCAGAAATAATTCTAATATGCTGATTTGCTGCTTAATATTTTTGTGGAAACATTTTTCTGATTTTCTGATTAATGGAAAATGAATATCATTTTTTGTAGCAAACTTCTACATTGTCACTTTTCATCACATTAATAAATCCTTGCTTAATAAAAATAGTACTTTCTTTAAAAAAAAAAAAAATCTTACTAACCTCAAACCTTTGTGTAGTATTACATGATTTCCAGTAGTCAGTGTATGATATTCATTTGATCTTTAGAATTAATGTATCAGTAAAGCCATTGGCCAATATGGTTTCATCTAGAAGAAAACTCTGTTTTAGAGGAATCCTGTGACTACAACTAAATGTAAAATTAATGTTGAAAAAAAAAGTGTCATTAGCAATATCTTTATATTCTTCAAGACTTGTGTATTTTACTACCACAGTTTATTTCTATGGATAAACAATCGGTTCTCACAAGTTGTTTTTAAATCATGCCCGGAAGGAAATAGGTGATGCTGTATTTAGAAGCATTTTTCAGCCCATTGATTTGAGATTTGAGAAAGGCGTTGAACTATCCACCTACCACAAAAATGCCTTTGATAAAACTACTGGTCTATAGTTATTTGTAATGAAAAACTGCTTTGCTAGAAAAGTATCTTGAAGAGGGGTCATTTTAACATGAAATAGAATGCAATAGTTCTTGTTTCACCTAAATGCATCAGCAGCAAATCTAATCACATTACAAAATTGTGCAACTTACATGCATTTTGATTATTTAACTTGGTGTTAAATTTGCATAATACAGAATGTTTTTTTTTTTGTTTGTTTTTTTTGTCTTCCAGTAAAGTTTCTTGGATGTGAGCCATAGATTCCCTGACAAACCTGCTTTCTTCAATGAGGAAACAACCTGTCATTTTCTGCGATGGATAAGGTTTCTGCAGACCCATTACGGCACTATGTCATATACAGATCAAGGCATGTTCTAAGAAACCCCATAGATGAATAAATGGTGCAACTTCAAATTCTCTCTAAATTGTACATTTATATGCATGCAATATGTAAATTATTATAATATTCTGTATTGTGTTTCCAGTTAATCTTATTGGATGAATTTTACTGCATTCCAGTGATGTATCCTTAATGGAAAAACACAATCACAATTGTTTATAATTCATTTTTATTTGTTAATTTCTCTGCATGGGTGTCATTTGGGTGGGTCCATCATAGAGTATGAAACATTTAATTGATCCTATGCCTGTTTAAATGGGTATTGTGTTCTGACACAGAAATAGTGTCTCCGGTTCAGTGACTTTTCAGTATCGAACCCATTATTAATTGGTTTCTAACAACATTCCTATTTTGTTTACCTTTACTCATCCAGGATGTTATATGTGTGTTGCTATAGCAGGTGTCCTCTGCTGCGTGATCATTTCATGATAGTAGTGCAGATCTGGACGTGTTTTGTCCCTGGCCTGGATGGAGAAGGTGGAAATTCTGGTTATTCACTCAGGTAAAATGTCCCTCTGCCAGTCTCAAGCAACAACATCCTATCATTAATTTGTTTTGGTTGTCAAAACCACCAGATAATGCATGACTAAGCTAGTGGGGATTGTGATGGCCCCGGGGGCTCTGCCAGGGTATTTGTGTTTGTGTCTGTCTTTATATTTCAATACTGAAAAATATTTTGTCTTTATAGATACTATAAAATTAGAAAAGCATTAAATTGCTGCAGAAATTAAAAACACCTACAGTATGATTTATCCAATGCTAATTATTGAGTTATGTCACTTTCAGTACTTAAAAATGCATATGCTTGTTACAGGATGTGAAAAAACTGGTTTTACTCCGAGACAGTGAAAATGCATGATGAAAGTTTACAATAGAGCTACAGATCTCTGTTCTTGGCTGTGATTTGAAGAGTAGGAGGAGTTTCTTGTTAGATGCTTTTTTTTTTTTTTAAAGTCCCTCAGAGAATCAAACAACAACATCTGAGTTCTGTTCATCATGTTTCATTCATTGAGTTAATGTAATAAGAATTTGGTTGTGGAAACTATCAGTCATACACATGAATAAACTCATGGTTATAGTTATTAGATATAGTACTTGTAACATACCACATTATAAGTACTAAATATCATAAAAGATTACCATATTCAACAGGATTCACTTAACATTATTTTATAATATCGGATTTACCCATGAGCCATGTTTGATTTTTAGTAGGAACAAACAATATTTTGACCCCACATTGGTAGTTGTATAGGCCAATCTTGTATATTTAAAGCCCACCTGTGGTGAAAATCAAGCTTTAAATGTTGTTTATATGTCTATGGTTTTTAAAATATGCTTTAAGACAAACCATGTGCAAATTCATAAGTCAACATCTTTGCTGGGGATTTTATTATGAGTATTTTTCTTATTTTTCCAAAAGTCTATGGGGAAAATGCATTGTTTTTCGATCGAGGGAATCCATACCCATTTTGTCCTACAAAGTGACGCCATCGCTTCGGGCACTCTATTGACCCCTATATGTTTTAACATGTTGAAGACCTTTCTCAAACACAAAACAAGTCCCTATTTCATTTCTGGAAGCCGGGCTAAACGAGCAGTTACTGGATTCAGATATCAAATACAGACATTAAAGAATACAATGAAGCAATTCAGTAATCACACTGGTAACTTCTATTACAAAGTAAAATCTCACAAGCCTAGAGAAGTCATTTTTGATATTTAGAGACTCATGAAGCAGCAGTGGATTCCAATCCACCCCCTTCACTCGTGAAGAGCACTTATATGAACGCTTCAGATGCCAGTTGCTGTGTGCATTCATGCATAGAAATTAATTCAGTTAATCTATTAAATACAACAATCTTTATTACTTTTACTTTGAAATGCACAATACACTCTCTTGTATAACATCCAACTGATCATTAAAATCCATTGATTATACCAATTGTAACCTCCTCTATTCATTTAATCGATAGTTTTTAATAAACACACAATGTTAAGAATTATAAAAGTTTAATAACATTTCACAGCGTAACAATGTGCAAATACATGCTGGTACAGTACAGCTATATAGGCTACTTTTTCAGTAATCCATAAATTGTGACTGAAACATTTAAATCAATGTATAATGATTTGGAGCAAGACATCATTGATTACATGCTTTTCAAAATGAAATACACAATGACAGTAAAGTTGTATATACACAGTATATAAAGTATCTCATACTGTTAGAATTATAAAAAGTGCGGAGCCTTTAAAGGGACATGAAGAAAAAAGGGAGATAGGAGTAAACATTATTGTCAATGCTATTGAGTTCGCTGGCAATTGTTTTGTGTTCCCCCGAGAAACTTTGCGTTTGCTTACAAAGAACACATACTGTAAGATGTGTGAGCAAATGCAAAGTTTCTCCAGGGAACACTAAAGTGTTTTGAGGAGGAAGCGCAATAGCATTTACTTACTTTTCCTCCCATCTCATATTTTTTCCACCCCCATGTTCCATTAAGGGGAAAAAAGTGCAGCTTTAAAGAGGTTAAAATACATGAACATTTTTTTTTACCACGATTCAGTTCCAGTTTTTACCACCTTCAGTTCATACTTGTTATAATGTAATACTTGACTCTTGTTCTTGACATAATCAAACATAATTCTTTAAATTTATATAGCACTTTTCTGGGTACTCAAAGCACTTTACAAAGGGGTAATCTCCTCAAACACCACCAATGTGCTGCATTACGCGACGGCAGCCATATTGCACCAGAATGCCCACCACACACCAGCTTACTGGTAGAGAGGAGACAGGACTAATACCCACTACAACTTATACAGTTTTATGTACATACAGTAGTATTTATACTTATAATTATAGATCTCTGAATTTAGTGACTTGCTTATATATCTGTATTTCTGTGTCTGTTAGCAGGTCATCGAAGGCCAGGATTTGATCCCCCTTATGGAATAGATGTGAATCCTAGATTTGCCGACAATCAGACACACTGGAGAGGAAAAGGATCAGAGACAAAGAACAATGAGAAACATAATACAATGTAAGTTCTTCTTTTGTACTCATGTTCAAGTTTTCTCTATTCGGATACAACTGTAATAACTAATTATTTATAAATGTGAGTGGTACCATGATTTGGCTTCTTCCTGTTTCAAGATCAGGCTGTTTTTCAGACTGTTTTGACGAACGCAGATCTTCTTCTCAACATGTGTTCGTATTTCACTACAATTAGAAATTTACATTGATGATACTCAAGCAGATGCCACATTTTTCACAACCTTAGTGCTAAATATAGCTGAAAATCAAATGGCAAAAAAATATAGAAATTGTTTCCTTGGTCCCACTTTATATTAAGCGTCTTTAACTATGATGTACAGTACTTACATTTAAACAAATCATTTGAAACAATGCACTTATTGTGTAAGTACATTGTAAAAAAAAAATATGCATGTAATTACAACTGAATATAACAAATAACAAATTACAATGATAGTGTTGACCCTTCTCTTACACCTTAAACCACTTTTAAGCCTATCCATATGACCAAACCTGTCCCTAACCTTACCCGTATCCCACCTTAGCAAGAGTGTTTTGCAATACAGCATGAACATAAAAAGCACACTGTACGCAACTGTTAATATTTTTTGATGTACGTTTTTAAAGACGCCTAATATAAAGTGGGTTTATTTTAGGCGTCTAATGGGACTAATTAATGGACTAATGGGTGAGAAGTGTGAACTGAAATGATAAAAATTACCCATTGTTTAAAGGCGCCTCGACCTTCTCTGTAGAGGCACAGTTCCCATTGGAGTTGAGGAGACGAGGCAGAGAATGTCTCTCATCTGCACTCATTCTAAGGAAAAAGGTAAGAAAGTGAAATAACAATGACATCATTCAGACATATTCAGCAGAAAAACACAGTTCAAAGCCGCCTTGATGACAGCAAAACTGCATTAAAGTCAAAATGTACCGTTTATTATCATCGTCCGTATCATGGTTGACGGCACCATTGCACACAGAAGACTCGTGGCCATTAATGGAAGTGCTGAAAAAGACAAAATAATAATAAAAAAATATTAACAATGTATTTTAAACTAAAGGTTTAAAGATAATTTAGTGTTGAACAAGGCTCAAACAATGATTGAACGATAGTTGTTTAATCGTTCTAGTTAGAGATGATTGCTTCTCTCTAGTATCAAGAGTCTAAAACAATGCTAAAACTTAGCATTCATCCATGATGAGCAAGACATTTCCAAACAACAAAACAGAATGTTCAACAATGCTAAGATAAGAGTTGTTTTGTAGTCTTTCAATAAACAACTATGTTGCACATAATTACATCTATGTGTAGCATCTGAGCCTCAGGGGAATGAACAATGTGTCAGACGGCAACACGCACTGAGTTAACTGTATCTTGTGCAACTAACACAATAGTGCAATGTCATGAGGTGAATAGAAGACTTCAAAATTACTTTGTCTGTATGCATGCAGTGTCCGTCTCCTGTTGGACATCTTCCAACGCCATTTGCCTTATCAGGAAAGACCACAATTTAATTAAATGTCTCAGACAATTGCATTTTATCAACAGAGTACATTTCACATTTCACTATGCCAGTTAAGGGGAAAACACCTACACTGATGCCATGACCATGTATTCATTGTTGTCCTCTGGAGCTTCATCCTGTTTCCCGTCCTTCTCATCTTTATCCTCGTTAACTGAAATCTGTCGAATTGAAGTGAGTTTTTGTCATATGGAAGTTTAAAAACATTGCAAAGAAGCAAATGTAAATTTGTAAAACCTTGAGCTCTACTGGTACTGGAGGTTCGCTGAACTTGCGAGGATAGTCATAATGGCCTGGGGTTGGTGGAGGAGATAACATTAATTCAGGTGCTGACCATCTTTCATCAGACAGACCTTCAACCTTTTGTTCTGAACCGTTCAGAGGTGCAGATGTTGATCTACTTCTGTTGTCCTGAGGGGAAAAAAAACGATGAGCAACCCCTCAAAAGTTTTCACACACTTAGATTTTTTTGTTTCTTAGGATGTTAAAAGTAATTGTATGAAGTTATAATAATATTACAAATTACAAAGAATTTACAATATAATTAAAAGAGAGCGATTAGAGAGAAATATTTTAATGTTTACCTCAATGGTGTTAAATGTATGTCTTTGTTTATTTGATTTTGCGGTATTCAGGGCTTTGCACCAACCATCCACATCATCACTGAAAATACCAGAAAACATTTACCACTAATGTTTTGGCTGAAAAAACATCATCAGTTGTTTTGAAATAAAAATTAAAAGTTTAAACAACTTTTTTTAGAAGTATAATGATTACTGCTCTTCTAAACCAAGTCACTTCATGAAGACTTGTATTATTATTTTTTGCTGGCTTTCATGGAACTATGCGTGACGGCAATGAGAGATATGGTCAAAATGATGGTTGCAAACCTGTTTTCTCCAATAAGAAAATAGTCTCTGCTGTGTGTGTGTGTGTCGTCTTCCACCCTCAAGAACAGCACAGAGGATGGAGGACACTTGAAGTGTTTCTGAATCCAGTCCCGCATCGGATGTGTCTCTAGGCCAGTAAACATCAAGGTGATCCTTTAAAACAGTAAGACTTTCTCATTATAGTGTGAGAATATTGTGTTTATTTTTTTAAGTGTGATAGTATATTACTTACTTAGAAAGGTTTATCTCTCCCACAGGTTTGTCTCTCTTTTCGTTGTTTGTGTAATATGTCAGATGGTAGTCGTCTTCGTCCGTCTTGGAGAGCACAAAGAAACGGCGTTTCCAGGATTTCTGTGGTAGATATACCAGGTAAAACTGTTAAGTTTCATGAACATAAAAACTGTCTTTGCCAGACTGCAGATATTTAAATTTCAACTTGAAATGCAATATGAGACGTACAAAGGTTTTTAATAAGGCCGGTTGACCAGGGGACTTGTGCAGGTATCCAGTGTACACTTCCTCCAGCATTGCTGGTTCTTTGTAAAACTTTGCAGTTGCTGCTGCAGGAACGTGAATAATACCGATTAAACACATACATAATGACAAATTAAATTGAGTGGTAGGCTTTCTTGATTATAACATTTATCAAGAGGTATTAGACTTACTTTTATTTTTGAACATGTTCATGTCGTAGCTTTTGTGCTAAAATAGATGTGAAATGTTTAAGTTGTTTTACTGTAAGCACTGACATCAGATACAATCGTATTTAAAAAAACATTTATGTTTTTGTAATATATATATATATATATATATATATATATATATGAAGAGTTTAGATGCAAAAGCCTCTAAATGCCATTTGAAATTTTCTTCTTTAATGATGATTTTTATCAAACTTGTATATTTAAGTTCAGTAATTTCACTTAAATAACAATTAATAGGTAATTATCATTGCAATTTAAGTGAAATCACTGAACTTAAATATACAAGCTTGATAAAAATGATCATTCTAGAAGAAAATTTCAAATGGCACTTAGAGGCTTTTGCATCTGAACTCTTCATATATATATATATATATATATATATATATTCAGTGAATATATATATATATATATATATATATATATATATATATGCACACACAAAAATAAAAAAAATGCAATGGAAATGCATCATCCATATTTCATTCATAATGAATAGTATCAGCATTATTTCTTTAGAATTATCATATCAGTAGCGACATTCTATAATATTATTGTCTTACCTTGTGTCTCGGTAAAAATAGTGTCCTCTGAAAAGTTATTCAGCTCTCTCAACGTGTGTTATGATGGCAGACTAGGAGGAAGCTCAACGCCTTTTGTTCCTTTATGCTCCAGTTCCAGTTATGCTGCTAGCAGGAGTTTCTGGTCATATTTAAGCTCAGGTTTCAAGGTTCCTCCCTATTGATTATGTCAGTTATTTGTTTGGGGAAATTACTAGACAAACAAGACGATCATAAAGGCTTTGTGGTATAGTGGAAAACGTTATACTACAAAAAAATTTAGCTTCTCTGAGCATATGCAGGAAAATATAACTGAAATATGTACAAATATTCACTGAAACCTGACACCTTTCCATTATATATAGTGCAGAATAACCCTAACCCATTATATATATATATATATATATATATATATATATAGCAGAATATAGTGATTTTTGTGGTTAGAAGCTCCCGGTTTCCCATAGACATGCTGGTATGTATATATATATATATATATATATATATATATTAATCGATGATTAAAGTGAATAAGATCGCCTTGACAGCTGATTTTCTCGAGTTCCACAACTACTGAAGAACTTGATAATCTAGATTTCTTTTTATAATAAGAGTCTGGGTCAAGGGTCCCTGAGAATGTAAAGATTGAACTTTATTGTATCATTGATTAGTGTGTATACGTAAGGAAAGGGGTGTTTTTCATTGTTGCACTTTGCTTATTCTTGGCATAAAAATACATGCAAATCTCCGACCTGGCACTGATTTATCCCATCTTGCATTTGAATGCACCGATACAGATCAATTGATTTTGAGGACAAATTGGAACATTTTACAGTAAGCAAAACTTTTAACATAAGAAACCTTAAGAATCGAAAGGCTAAATATCTTACAAAAATCTTTATTTTACTTTGCAATCGTAGGATTACAAATTTATCAAAATGTTTAATTAGGTTCCAATACAATAGAATATAAACTGATAAAGTTATGTACATTGTGTTTTACATTTTAAGGTTATGATGATGATGATGATGACATCACCTGTTAAGCATGAGAATCTTGCTAGTCCTGGTCTCTCTATTGTAAGTTAAATGAGTCAGATTACTGAGACTCCTACCCTTTGCTTTGTCTCCGTGATAATGTTACGTTTTGAGAAAACTAGCCAGGCTGATTGGATTAGCCTCTCAAGGCTCTGAATAACTGCTATGCCGATGAGATCAGGGCTGGGGAATTTCCAGTAACAAGCTGAATCCTATGCCTCATCTGCATGCTTTTGTTTCAGTGTCTCCACCTTTGTGTAACCCCTCCTTCTTGAAAGTTATATCAACTAAAATGTATACTGCTTTAGTTAGACTTGGCTAAGATTTTTGGATGACGCAAACTACAGCGATGCAAAAGAATCCTGCTTAAAAGAAACAACCAAGTCTCCTGGTCTTCGCTTCTGAGTTCCTACACTTTAGAAGAAAAAGGTTTTCAACACAATGCGCAATAAACTCTTGTGTATATATCCAACTCTTCATTCAAATCCATTGATAATCCCTTGTTTCTCTGAGCTCTAATATTTAAATCCCTAGTTTAAGTGACAATCACACACAATCAAGGGTTAAGAGTTATGAAATTTTAATAACAATTCACAGTGTAACAATGTGCAAATGCTTTTGTAGAGAATAATTAATCAATAAATTAGGTAGTCTACATCTTCAGTAATTATAAATCTAAAGAGTGACTGAAACATTTAAATCAATGTATAATGATTTGGAGCAATACATCATTGATTGCATGCTTTTCAAAAGGAAATACACAATGACAGTAAAGTTGTATATACACAGTATATAAAATATCTCATACTGTTAGAAATGTAAAAAGTGTAGCTTTAAAGAGGTTGAAATACATGAACAGTTTAGAACATTTTTCACAGTGAATTAACCTTCATAATTGTAAAAATACTTGACTGAATCTTTCTACCACTCGTACAGTTTTATGTACATATACACTCTAAATGTTATCAATTTCTTTCACTCAGTGGTATTTTGATGTCGGTGAATAAAACAATTCACATTCATTCATGTATGATTAGACTCAAATGAACGAGCTTTAATGTCCAACAGATCCTTCGATCTTAAATTAGGTGTGCACAATATTTCTAATAACTCGATTTTGTTTCATATCCTCAGTGGGATGTGAAAGGTTCAGAGTGCAGAGGCTGGGATCCTGGAAACCGCCGAATAGTGAGTTTCACCTGCAGATAATTTCAGTTACATTATTTATAGATCTCTGAATTTAGTGATGGAAAAACATCAAATGCAATCATTATCTTACCTTGTCCTTGCTTAGTCTTCTTAGGTATGTCTGTATCTCTTCTACTGTGTCTGTTAGCAGGTCATTGAAGGCCAGGATTTGATCCCCCTTATGGAATAGATGTGAATCCTGAATCTGCCGACAATCAGACACACTGGAGAGGAAAAGGATGAGAGACAAAGAACAATGAGAAACATAATACAACGTAAGTTTTCTCTATTCGGATACAACTGTAACTAATAATGTATCAATGTGAGTGGTACCATGGTTTGCCTTCTTCCTGTTTCAAGATCAGGCTGTTTTTCAGACTGTTTTGACTAACGCAGATCTCCTTCTCAACATGTGTGTGCATTTCACTACAGAATAGAAATATGCATTGACAATATTAAACAGATGCCACATTTTTTCACAACCTAGTGCTAAACATAGCTGAGAATCAAATAGCAAGGAAACTAAGAAATTGAAATAATTGTTTCGTTGGTTCCACTTTATATTAAGTGTATTCACTATGGTGTACTAACAATTAAACAAGTCATTTGATACAATGCACTTATTGTTTAATCACCTCTTGTTTAAAGGCGCCTCAACCTTCTCTGTAGAGGCATAGTTCTCATTGGAGTTGAGAAGACGAGGCAGAGAATGTCTCTCATCTGCACTCATTCTAAGGAAAAAGGTAAGAAAGTGAAACAGCAGACATCATTCAGACATATTCAGCAGAAAAACACAGTTCAAAGCCGCCATGATGACAGCAAAACTGCATTAAAGTCAAAATGTACCGTTTATTTTCATCTTTCGTATCCTGGTTGACATCCTGGCCATTAATGGAAGTGCTGAAAAAGACAAAATAATAATTAAAATTTATTCAGCTATGTATTTTAAACAAAAGGAAGAATCTAGATCATTTTAGCGTTCAATAAGGCTCAAATAATGATGGAACACCCCAGAACGATGCTTGTTTAATCGTTCTAGTCAGAGATGATTGCTTCTCAAGTATCAAGATGCTAAAATAATGCTAAAACTTAGCATTTATGGGCAAGACATTTCCAAAAAACAAAATAGAATGTTCTGAAAAGCATCTGAGGCTCAGGGGAATGAACTTCGTGAGCACATTATAATGTGTCAGACGGCAACACGCACGGAGTTAACTGTATCTTGTACAACTAACACTTAGTGCGATGTCAAGAGGTGAATAGAAGACTTCAAAATTACTTTGTCTGTATGCATGCAGTGTCCGTCTCCTGTTGGACATCTTCCAACGCCATTTGCCTTATCAGGAAAGACCCCAGAAAATGAACAATTCAATTAAATCTCTCAAAAAATGTTATTTTATCAACAGAGTAGCCTACATTTCACTATGCTAGTTAAGTTGAGAAGTTCTCTAAAACACCTACACTGATGCCATGAACATGTATTCATTTTTGGTTTCTGGAGATTCATCCTGTTTCCTGTCCTTCTCATCTTTATCCTCGTTAACTGAAATCTGTCAAATTGAAGTTTGAGTTTTTGTCATATGGAAGTAGTGTGCATATGTGTAGAAACATGTAAATGTGTAAAACCTTGTGCGCTACTGGAACTGGAGGCTCGCTGAACTTGGTAACATATTGATATTGGTCATCAGACTGATCTTCAAACTTTGGTTCTGGACACTTCTCTAAATCTGATCCAAATCTGCTGTCCTGTGGAAAAAGATAAGTAGATGAGCATGCACAACCTCTCAAAAGTTTTGACACCCTTAGATTTTTGGTTTCTTAAGATGTTAAAACACTGATCAAAACACTTATGCTTAAATGCTTGAAAATAAATAAATGATATGAATTTTTAATAATATTTTGACTGGTAGTTTATATACTGTATACGTTACATGTGTGTAAAGATAGAGAGAGAGAGAATAGAGAGAAATATTTTAATGTTTACCTCAATGGTGTTAAATGTATGTCTCCGTTTATTTGATTTTGCGGTATTCAGGGCTTTGCACCAACCATCCACATCATCACTGAAAATACCAGAAAACATTTACCACTAATGTTTTGGGTGAAAAAACATCATCAGTTGTTTTGAAATAAAAATTAAAAGTTTAAACAAAACTTATTTTAGAAGTATAATGATTACTGCTCTTCTAAACCAAGTCACTTCATGAAGACTTGTATTATTATTTTTTGCTGGCTTTCATGGAACTATGCGTGACGGCAATGAGAGATATGGTCAAAATGATGGTTGCAAACCTGTTTTCTCCAATAAGAAAATAGTCTCTGCTGTGTGTGTGTGTGTCGTCTTCCACCCTTAAGAACAGCACAGAGGATGGAGGACACTTGAAGTGTTTCTGAATCCAGTCCCGCATCGGATGTGTCTCTAGGCCAGTAAACATCAAGGTGATCCTTTAAAACAGTAAGACTTTCTCATTATAGTGCGAGAATATTGTTTTTATTTTTTTAAGTGTGATAGTTTATTACTTACTTAGAAAGGTTTATCTCTCCCACAGGTTTGTCTCTCTTTTCGTTGTTTGTGTAATATGTCAGATGGTAGTCGTCTTCGTCCGTCTTGGAGAGCACAAAGAAACGGCGTTTCCAGGATTTCTGTGGTAGATATACCAGGTAAAACTGTTAAGTTTCATGAACATAAAAACTATCTTTGACAGACTGCAGATATTTAAATTTCAACTTGAAATGCAATATGAGACGTACAAAGGTTTTTAATAAGGCCGGTTGACCAGGGGACTTGTGCAGGTATCCAGTGTACACTTCCTCCAGCATTGCTGGTTCTTTGTAAAACTTTGCAGTTGCTGCTGCAGAAACGTGAATAAACCGATTAACATTAAACACATAGATAGCTTAACACTCAATTTAATTTGTCATTAAATTGTCTTTCTTGGTTATATAACATCTTACTAAATGATTTTAGACTTTTATTTTTATTGGACTTGCTCACGCTGTTGCTAAAATAGATGTGAAATAAATTTACTCTAAGCACAGACTTCAGATACAATCAGATGGAAACAACATTTAGGATTTGGTAAAACAAAACTATTCAGAGAAGACTAATTAAAATGCTATGGAAATTAACCCTCCATCATATTTCATTCATAATATGTTATGAATAGTATTATTTTATTAGTTATTAATAGCATTATTTCTTTACAAGCATCACAAAGCAGAATCCTCATAACAGTAGCCATTTTCTATAATATTATTGTCCTACCTTGTGTCTCTGTAAAAATAGTGTCCTCTGAAAAGCTCTCAACGTGTGTGTTATGATGGCAGATTAAGAGGAAGCTTAAGGCCTTTTGTTTCTTTCAGAGAGTTATGCTGGTAACAGGAGGAGTTTCTGGTCATATGTAATCTCAGGTTTAAGGTCACTCCCTTTTGATTGTATCGGTCATTAGTCCAGACATTTCCAGAAAAACTAGGTATTCATAATGGCTTTGATGAATTGTGGGAAACTTGAAACTACAAAAACAAATGTAGTTTCTGATGCACTTACAGTAAGCTGTGACTAGAAATAAGTACACATATTCACTGAAACAGGCACTTTCCATTTATTGTTTGCTGGATTGAACCACCAATCTTTCAGTTTTTTTAGACAACCCACATGAACCACTGAGCCACTGCCGCCCGCTCTGATATATATTCAACTATATACATTACAAACAGAAATGGCAAACATGGCATGACATTTCTAACTATTTGAATGAACATTAACAAATTATCTAGCATCAGTCACAGCATAACTAAGACTAGCTACTCAGAAAATGTATGATTTCAGCATATATGGAAACATTGATTTTGAGGAATAAATTGAACATATAGTATAAAGTTTTTATCATAAGAAACCTTCAAAAGGCTGCGTAGTACAAGACAAAAACAGAATTAAAGAAAAGCAATACACTGAGTTTGCAGAGTAACAAAAAAAACGGATATTTCAGGGTATGAAAGAAAATTAAATGAAAGAAAATTAATACCTGAAATCTTTTACATTTGAATATTGAAAAATATTGACTTTGATATCACACACAACATAGTTTTAATTTAAATGTGTGCATGTTAAAACAGATTATAGATTTTATTTTCTGTACATTTCACATCAAGGTGAATGTTTATAAGACCATGCATTAGTATTGAAACAATTTGTAATATTATAACTTCATATAGGCCTAACTGAAACATTGTTTGAAACAAAATATTTAAATATACATTTATTAGCCTATATTTACACAGTAGCTGCATCATTTTCTTTATACTGAAGCATTCTGATATTTAAAAAAAAAAAAAAATAAGCTGCATTGTTCTAATATAATTGACTTTTGGTCATTTGCTTTAATCATATTTATTTTATTTTTGGTAAATTAATGCAACTTGTGCAATTCGTCTCATTATCGACGAAATGAGATGAATATCAACTGTTCCCAATGCAAAGCTACTGTATAAACATTCCTTTTGCTTTGGATTAGTGCAAGTCAGTGAAACGAAATATGATTTAGCATATAAGAATCCTGTTCAACCTTACATTCAACATACTACTTGAACTGTGAAAATAAAACAACAAATATATCTTAAATTCAGTCTTGTTTCCAGACTGTTGTAACAATTAGCACACAGTAACAACAGTTAAAGAAGCTGGAGTTTAGAATGAAGCCTGCACGAGTACATTTCTGCACTCATTCTGTCAATTCATCTGTGTCGTTATCTTCGCAGTTTCTTTCTGTTCTTAATTCTGTCTCGGGCAAAAAAAGAGTGAAACTATTAATATACTTGTGATCATATGTTTGTATTTCCGCTTGTGTTGTTTGCATGCATATACCTTTACTTTTGAATTTTGCAGGAGAAACATAGATGGGCTCATGGGTCACATGTGATGGCGGCTCATGTGTAACACATGTTTCATGACCCCACTCAACTGTCTGTCATTAACACAATATATGATGATATCATTAGATACTGAACAGCTGCAAACTAAGTACATTAATAATCAGAATAAGTGGAGTGAACTCAAAGCAAAGGATTGAATAAATCCCAGTACAAGAAGCATTTTTTTTCTTCTAAAATTAGCAAATTTGTTTTGTTTCCCAAGCTTGTTTGATATAATCAGTATGGGTTGAAGAAATGAGAGCCAGATAGACTGATTATGGTGACCTCTCATTCTTATCTTGATTCACATTTTTTGAAACTTATGTGCCACTCTCCTTAGGTGATCAAATAATTAGTCTAAAAAAATACTTGGGAAACTTTGCCATAAGTTCTAAAGACTTATTATTATCATTAAGGATCATAAAACCTAAAATACCAGTTGGCCACAAACCAGACCTATTTTTAGCAGACACCCCTTTCTATGTGCTAATATACCTGCTCGTCGTTTTCTGACTGTGGAAGTTCCCAGATGTGTCTCTTCGACCCAAATGACTGCGTGACAGATGTTTAATTCAAATTATTCTACTAAGACATTTTTTTTGCAGACCATGCACAATTATGTATGAAATGCATGCATTTTCAAGTCAGAAAAGTAAAAAACATTACCTTGGGATCCAACAGTCTGTGTGGACGATTATTTAAGATGTCAAATAAAGCAGTGAACCATTTTTCCATCTCCCAACTGCACAAATATGTTATATTGCATCATTCAGAGACTATTTAAAAATAGTCGGATCATATCATGATTATGTATAGAAATGACAAAAAGTAATATGTTTCTGTAAAAGTCATCTCTATATTTATCATAAAGTATCAGGCTCGTTATATGGTCACGCTTTAGGTTAGGGTCCGATTCTCACTATTAACTATCTATTAACTACGACATTTGCCTCAATAAACTCCCAATTACTGCTTATTAATAGTAGTTAGTAAGGTAGTTCAACGCATTCTCACCCCAAGGCGTCACCTTTTGACCATGCTTCAATATTTGACGCTTTAGGCGCCCTTTAGCGTCAGTTAGATGACGCGGGTAGGTTTAGGTCTGGGGTGGGGGTAGGGTTACCCAAACCCTGGGGGTAGGGTTACCTAAAGCGTCAGATATTGAAGCATGGTCAAAATGCTTCCCAAGGCGTCAGTTAGGTGACGCCTTGGGCTGGGTAGTTGTTAAGTTTAGAAATTGGGTTAGGGTTGTAGAATTTAGTCACGCAGATTCAGACATTAATATGTGCTTTATACGTGCTAATAAACAGCCAATAATCCTAATATGCATGCTTATAAACAACTAGTTCATAGTGAGAATTGGACTGTAAACTAAAGTATTACAATAGATATTTTCACTCAATTTATGACAAAAAACAACAATAAATCACTGCCATTGAACAAAGAAAAAACATTCAGGACAAACCTGTTTTCTCCGATAAGGAAGAAGTCTCTTTCCGGTACTCTAATAAACAATACACACGAAGGAGAACATCTGAAATGGTTTTGAATCCAGTTCCACTTATTATCCATCTCGGGCTTTAAGAACATGAATGTGATCCTGCAGGAAAGGCAGAAAAACAGATGTTCTCTTCTGCAGCCTTACTGTCCAATAGTGATTGTTTAAAGAACGTTTGTCAAGACAAACTATATTAAGTACAATCAACTTGGATGGTTCTGTCATTTCAACTTAAATTACATTAAACTCACCTTAAAATTTAAATTGAAAGTTGAAAATTGCTTAACATTTTTTGGTGAGACGAAGCAATGTAAAATCATATGTCGTCATAACTTTTTGATCATCATTTTTTCAAGTGTATGATGTTAGATAAGATACAATGTTGCTAAGGTACTCTGGATGGTTGACAGACAGGTTGTTTGTGTGTTTGGGGGGGGGGGGTGACACAATTATTGAACGTACTTAGACAAGTCAATGTCTCCAAGTGGTTTGTTCTTTTCTTCATTTTTATAGTACTTAAGCTGGAATATGTTGTTACTGTACTTTAGAAGAACAAAAAACCTCCGTTTCCACGATTTCTGCAAAAAATATATACAGCATGAGAGAAATTGGCAAAGGGAGTCTCCCATTAATGCTCAATAGAACCTGTTCTGCTCCTTTAGAGAAACATACCTGAGACTTGAACAGATTCTCTGGGGGAGATTTGTAAAGATATCCAGAACAAATTTGCTCCTCTGCACCATGTATGTAAAATGCATAGGTTTTATCTGCAGAGACGAATAATGTATTTAAAAATAAGCCATATGTTATGACAATAATGTCCATCAGAGACATTTAAAAGGACATACCTGCCATTGTACAGTTGTGGTGAGTAATGGAATGCTGTGAGTATAAGCATAGGAAGAGAACAAGCTGTCGTTACTTTAGCATATTCAGCATGATGAATGATTTCAACTGCCAAATGTTTGAAATTCTAGATGTTCTTTAATGGAACATTTACACTGTTACAGTAGGACCTGGCCTCCAAAGCCACATCCACAAGTGTTTTGTGTGGGGACTTTCCTTAGACATAATGATTTGTATACTGTACAAACTGTATACTCTATCCCCGTACACTAACCCAATCCCCAAACCAGCAAAGAAAACTTTCTGCATTTTTACATTTTCAAAAAAAAAAAAAAACATCACTTTGTATGATTTATAAGCTGTTTTTGGATTTTCAATATTGCCCTCTTTGTGGGGACATTTTTATCCCCATAAAGTAGGGTTTACCAGGACACACACTATTCCTGACCTAAATATAGTTTTGTTTGAAATATTTGTTCAGGTAGTATATTAATAAATAATTTTGATTTAGCTCACTATCATTGATGCTACCTTAAATTATGTAAATCAGACAACACAATTTCTTAGCTTGACCTCTTCTGCTGTAGCAATCAAAATTATGATTGTAATATTTTATATGACAGAAAAACAAAACAATTTCTGTACCTGAGATAGATGCTCCCTCTCTGTGAGAACACAACATGTGATTAAAATAATATGAGGAAGTTTATGCCAAGGTGTGAATCCTTAGAAGTGATGTCACAAGGAAGGCGGTGATTTAAACATATTTAGTTTTGTGCTTGGACAACAAATAGAAAGCAGCAAGAAGTAGTCTACAAGAAACCACTATTGTCATGTTTAAACTCACTTTATGTACTCACTATTCAAATAGTGTGACTATGTGTTATCTCTGCAATATACTGTACATTATTGGTGCAGATTGCATGTTATTACCAGACTTACAGTCTGACATTGAAGGTGAAGTCACTTCTCCCACCACTTATATATTTCCCGAACACCTCCTGTCTGCCATTGGTCAAAAAAACAGATAGCCCCGCCCTGAACTTACATAAAGTTGATGTCTGGAGATAGTCTGGATTTTCAAACAAACAGAGCCTTAGGATCTCATTCATTAATAATTGTGTGGATTATTTTGTATTTGTACGCACAGGTGAACTCAAAAAACAAAAAATCTCCACCTAACTCACAATGTGCATATGCATATGAATTTGCTCTTAATCTCTGGTCTTTAACACTATTACATTGGATTGAAGAAAATTAGTAATTACCAAACACGTATTTTGTTTGGTAACAAGTATTTTGTTTGTATTTTTGACAGTATTTTTACTCTGAAATAAAATACCAAGGAAATTACCTCAAATGATTTCACATAAAAATACAAAATGTGGTATTTTTTATGTAAGCGATAACTGTAGGTTGTTGTTTTTCCATTTCATCTCAGACGGAGCGCAGATGGAAAAGTACACTTGTACTGTTGTGCAGTCACAGTGTCGTTTAACACATCTATCAGTTTCAGCATATTTCTATGATTTATGCAAAGGTGAAATCCAGACAAACATTGTTCTTCTACATTCCAGAAGTCAACTTCAAAAAACTTGGTGATGATAACCTGACACCTTACCTTACACTGTGTAAAAACCCCTGCCCTAATTTCCAGCCATACTTAAAAGGTTCTCAATCAAAGAGTCATCGCCAACCCACGTCAGTTCCCATGCACGCCTACTCATCCAATGGTGTGTGGCTGAATAGTCATTTGATGGGACTGTGACTGGAAATTGGCCAGTTGTGACTGGAAATTGGCAGCTGCAGGTGGCTTGGCACAGGCCTCGATCCAAACATTCCTGCTCATACGCAATTCATCAGTCATTACAAATGCTAACAGGGTCATGGCTGAAGCCTATACTTAGTGCTACCTGCTCCATAAGTGCTTCTGAACTATTTAGAATTTGACCCAGTTGCGACACGCAAACGTAAAACATGCAAAACTTACAACTTACAACTACAACGTATCTGTAGATTCAGTAAGAGCAACCCTGTTAAGTTTTCCCTTAAACTGGACACCCTGATTTAAACATCTAAATATTAGTTGTTGCGACACATGCATCAACACTTGTTGAAACGGTGATATAAATAGATGTTTTGTTTGGCTAGAAGTGCTGCTTCCCTTCTCTTTTGGGCACAATGTATTCAGACTACAGTAGGCCTAGTACAGCTCCTTCAGTCCTTTAGCCAGATTTACAGACCACAGTTGTACAATGCGAATACTTCCCAGGGCACAGGAACAACAGATGGACCATCACCCCTCCCCTATTCTTGGCATCCTAACCGTACAGTATAAAGCTCAAAGTTTGGGGCTTAGGCTAGTCGTTTGCCAGTGGACAACAAGACTGGAAAGAAAACCAAACCTATTAAGTGAAGAACTGGTTGATTGGAGTTGAGAAGTCAATGATGAAGACACAAACCCAGGTAAATCTTCAGCTCATTTCTATTCATTACGATGGATATTTTCAACTTGATTTTGACTTTTGAAATGTCACATTCAAGGACACCCCAATAAAACATCAGGGGCTCCTGAAGAGACAAAGAGACATTCTGGCTTTCCGAATGAAGAAGCTGTCGTCAAAACAATCTGACTTCAATGTAAGTTGCTGATCCTTCCATTAACGTCTGTAAGTACGATAAATGCAAAGCTTTGGATATGGCAGTCGGGTTTGTTGTATCTTTTATTATTCCACAGAGCAAGACTGCAACTCTAAAAAAGAAGATTAAGCAAAAATATGATGACATGAAGAGGGTTTTGGATGAGGATCTTAGAATTACACTAAGTCAGTTGGATCTTGAGACGGAGGCCATGGAGAGAACTGTTGAGGACAGCATTGAGAAGTGCTACCGCCTCACGCTGGAAATCGATCAGCAGCTCGCTGAACTATCTGCACAGATGGAGAAAGATCAACATCTGGCTCAGGAGAAGGTGCGTTTTCTTTTGTAGCACATTTTTTGGTGGAAATACTATATAGCTGAGGTAGTAACCAAATATTTCAAAAATATTTTATATATAGGACCACCAAATGCAATTCATCAAATATAAAGGCAGCGTTGAAAGCATGTATTTTTTTTCGGTAACGCTTTAGATTACAGCCCGGAAAGTACTGTAATTAAAAGAAATTTACAGTGTAACATTCTGTAATTATAGTTTACCTATAAAATACTTGCATGTACTCTGTAAAAAAAATATTGTTGGTTTAACTTAAAAAAATGAAGTAACCTGGTTGCCTTAATTTTAAGTTCATTCAAATGGAAAAATTGAGTTAATACAAAGAAGGAGATTGATTTTATCATCAGAAACTCAAAATGTTATGTTATCTGAACCACATTAATTATTTAAGTTGATTTGACAAAAGAAAAAATGTTGTGGTTACAAATCATGAACATTTTTTTTACAGTGTACTGTAAGTATAAGGGAACAATATGTCAAGTTTGGAGAATTAAAAATGTTTATACTTAAGGAGTATTATAAAACTAAAAGGTACTTATTTTACTATTATGAAACTATTTTAGAGATTAATTGAATTTTCCACAAAATTATAGATTATTTTCATACTCATTAAGAACTGTAGTGCCATCAGTAGAATTCAATAATTACTTTAATTAAATTAAAATCAATTAATTGATTTCATGATTTCTGATCAGTCTTTAGAATGAAAGATTGTTATTTATATTTTTATTTTTTTATAAAAAAAAAAAGTTGTAGCACAATTGCTTTGCCAATTTCTTTGGATTAAAGTGCTGCTCCATTGATAAATGAAGGCATCTGCAGTGTGAATGTTCTACAAATAGCTTACCTTTTCAACCCTCATATCTCCACCTCTTTCTTACTTACAGATGTCAGAGGTGGAAGAAAGGTAAGTAATGTTGCAGTTTTGGGAATTTGGTTTCTAGCTTGCACATTGTGGAAATTTAAGCTAGTATAAGTAAATTTAAGCTAGTATAAGCAATAAGTATGCAACACTCTAAAGTTACTGGAATTTTTTTTTACTTTTTCTTGTTTTGAGAAATCTGTGGGACGGAAATGGGCCAAGCATTAAATCAAGCATGCAATCTGAATTTTCTGCACAACACTTCCTTCTTGTCTGGCATGTTCATTTTTCTGCACATATTCTTCCTTGTTTATAGAATAATGGAGACTCTGAAGCTGACCGATCCAGAGTTAATACAGATGGATGAATTTAAGAGTGAACAGCTGCTCTGCTTAACCATCAACCTGCTACTGTTCATACGTTCCCAGGTTCCTGTCACCAAGAAACTCTTCCAAAGCTGTGAGGATCTTAACATTTTCACATGGGAATTACTCTAGTGCCTTTAGTATGTACAGCTAAAGCAAACATTCCTTCAAAGTTTTTTTTTTTTAAATCTTTCTAACCCCTGCTAAACCTGTACCTAGCACCTCAGAGAATTTGTTTCTATTTATAGAGTCTTATTTTTCCATTTTTCAGATGCCCAAGATGTTGTTCTGGATCCTGACTCTGCTCACCCAAAACTGATTGTTTCCCCTGAGGGCGACTCAGTCTCTTACACTGATACCTGGCAGGAAGTATCTGAAAATCCCTCTCGATTTGACACCACCCTGAATGTGATTAGCCGAAAGAGCTTCACGGATGTTCGCAACTACTGGGAAGTGCAGGTTGCTGGAAAGACATACTGGGAACTAGGCCTCACTTACTCTAAAATCCCCAGGAAGGGCCGAGAGGAGGACTGCTGGTTGGGACGGGGCCCAACGTCATGGTGTGTTGAGTATTTCAATGGCGACTACACAGCCTGGCACAATGGCGTTTCCCATGAGCTCACCCATGTAAGTGGGAGAACCTTCCAGCGCATTGGCATCTTCTCCAGCTCAGAGGGAGGTTTGATTTGTTTCTTGGGGGCAGACACCATGACGCCCTTGTACAGTTTTTGTGCAGGAACCTTCACAGACACACTCTACCAGGCTGTATGTCCTGGCCATGAGAACCAGGGGACAAATAGTAAACCGCTGCTGATTTGCGATGCCTCGAAATCCTCCCCCACCTTGTGATAGACAACCAATGAAGGTTTGGGACTGAGTTCATTTATGTGAAAGAGGTTGTTTTTAAGTGTAGATTCAGTCGGAAAATGTTCCTTAGCTTTGTCTTGTTCCTCATTTGATTATTGCTAGAACGTATAAAATCATCGGCGCCCTTTTTTTGTATTATTTTACTGTACAGTATAAATGGGAAAATATGAGTTTACATGTCACTATGTTTTCCCCAAGTTAAATTACCATTCAAACATTTGGGGTCGTATATATATATATATATATATATATATATATTGATTCAGCAAGGAGACATTACATTTACCAAAGGTAAAGACATAATTTTTCACAAGATCAAATAAATGCTGTTCTTTCGTCCCGAAAATAATATAAAGTGTTTTGCAGCGCAAATACATTTACATTTCAGCCCATTCTCATCCTTTAGCGTCATATACGTGACGCTATATGACAAAACGGTGAAATACTACGCACATGGCACACTTTATCGTTAATATAACACGCGAACCCAAGGCATCATAAATCCTTTAGCGTTAATATGAGACTACCCTACCCTACCCCACACCTAAACCTACCTGCGACTGATCGTAGGCTTCTGGTTGGGATGTAGACTTGTAGTAATGAGTGGAAGTAGGAGGGAGCTGATCCTGTGGTCAATATGTAGGCAAGTGTCAATGCCTTGAACTTGATGTGAGTGGTAGCCAGTACAGGGATGAACAGAGGAGTGACGTAGGCCCTTTTGGGCTCATAGAAGACCAGACGAGCATTCTGGATCATTTGTAGAGGTTTAGTTGCACATGATGGAAGTCCAGCCAGAAGAGCATTGCAGTAATCAAGCCTAGAAATGACCAGGGCCTGGACAAGAAGCTGTGTCGCCTGCTCAGTTAGGAAAGGCCTGATTGTCCTGATGTTGTGCATAGCAAACCTGCATGATCTAACTGTCTTTGTAATGTGGTCTGTGAAGGTCAGCTGATTGTCAATGATTACTCCAAGATTTCTGAGTGAGAAATCTTGGAGTAGACTGACCTTGCGATAACTGACCTTGATGGGGTGATTGAGGAAGAATCTAGCTGGATAGTGAAATCGTGCTGTAGAGGCAGATTGGCAGAGAGGATAATATATATAAGTAGAAAAAAGTTATTTTAAATTGTAATGATATTTTCCTGTATAACTGTTTTTAGTATTGTATTTTTTCCCAAATAAATGCATCCTTGGTGAACATAAGACATGTTTCAAAAACATCTTACCCAAAACTTCTAAACGTCCCCCTGTCAATCATTTTATACTGGCTTAACTCACCAAAAGGAGATATTTGATAAAAGAATCAGTCATACTTTAAAATAACTTAATGTAACTCTACATCCTTGTCTCATTTAGTAAATGTGGTCACATCACATGTTGACGTGATTGGTTACAAGGTAGTTTGTGACACAAGCGATTTCAAACTGCATTTTTTTTTTTTAGACTGTCTTAAAAAATCACTGAACAAAATACTTGATTTTCATCACAGGGGGAATTTAAGAGTAGTGCATAGCCTAGAAGTATTAATAAAAAAATGACAAGAGTTCAATAAAGTTTTTTAATACAATAAAATTAGGCTTACAAAGGCATTCATTTGAAGTAATTTAAACAAAAATCAACCCCACTTTATACAATGTAATGTTGACACAATGTAAAAACATTAAATAAAAATCAGAGCACTTGTGCCAAAAATATCAAGTATTTTTTATAAACATTCCTATTACCACAGTAAAGCATTTAAATTTAAAATCGATGTGGTATAAATTTCTAAATAAAAATCGTTTTCCATTTCAAAACGTGGAGCTGACATTTCCTTTAATATAGTTTGAGCACTTCACTAATAATCCATGCATAAAGAAAAGAAGGCCTTTCTGGTTGCTTGCACAGGCTGGCAGATTTAGTGTGTGATCTGAATGAACAATCAATAACTGAGAATGAGAATACAGGAAGAACCAAAAGGAAGAAAAAAAAATGTAGGACGAAATCAAAGACAAGCTCTGAACACATCAGAACCTTCCATCCAGGTTCAAACAGCACGTTAGGTCAGATGGATGATAAATGGTTAAAATGGTCACCAGTAATTCAATAGCTGCCTCTGTAGATTATCGACGGATTCGGTACAAAACATCAGTAAATACTGCATGAAGACTTTAAAGCTACAGTGTGCTCAAAATACATGGGATGCATGAAGATCTGATTTAGTTTTTTACAGTGAATGCAAACTAACCAGCGAGGGATAAATGAATAGCTTCTAAAACCAGTCAGGTGTCAGCATTACTTCACTATTTGTCACTCCATTTCCATACATGCTCTTTCTCTGACCCCCTTTTAAGAGCATTCTGGAATAACCAAACCAAACCAAACCAAACTGAAATGCTACAAATGGTCATTTATAAATAGAGTTATAGTTTTTCTACTTATAAATATAAAACAGAACAACAGCAATTTTTTTTTTGTTTTTGTTTGTGGTATGGCGTGTCTTTTTCAAACACCATGTATACATTTTTAACAAAGATTTTTTCATTCATATCCAAAAAGAGTTGTATCTTGTAGGTTATAAAGGGCAGCAAACTTTCAAAGTTGGCAAAGCAACATGGATATTTTACACTGCCAGTTGACAAAGATCATACATGACATCACTGTTTTCTGGAATACTCTGAGGAAGTTGAAATAGAACATGCACTGAGAAGGCAGTGAACTGGAACAGGAAGTAGCACAGAGGAAGACCTTTTCCGTGTCTGGATGCACAGCATAACAGGTAAAAATTGCTTTCACACACAAACTTCCATCTGGGATTATCCTTGAATGTTGTGACCACTTGGTCGAGTGAATTCAGTCAGTGGTCAGTCTTTGTACACCTGATGTGTCTTTGCTGCCTGCCATCCAAAAATGTGCACCGTAAAAATATTTTGCTCAAGTATTAGACTGAGGTTTCCCTCCTTATGGCGGATCAATGACAAAGAAGGATAACAATTCTGTTAATATTTACTGCTAAAAGATAACAAATTAAAAGTGTTCTACTATAATGTCCTTGGCAAGAAAATGTGTGTGCTGAGAAAAGGCAGACGGAGCACAGCATGTGAAGATGGTCGACTCCGATCAGTTGAAGTAGAGCTCTTTAGTCAACATGGACACCACACAAGGTATCTGTTTCTTCTCGCTAAAACGAGGGTCCTCTGACCAGGACTCGAAGCTGGTGGCCACCTTGTAGTTGACCCGTGTGAGGATCTGCATGATCTCAAGTTGCTTGCCAAACTCATCAAGAACGTTACAGAGGGCCTGGACAAACCAGGACCCTCGCCCTGGATTCCTCCAGGAGTAGTAACCTGTGAGAACAAATGTGGAAGAATGTTAAAACCAACAGGATGTACCCAGGGATGGGTATCTAATCAGATTGAGATTTTTAGATTCACAACCTCTTGACTTGATTCAAATTGATTCAATTGTCATATATTTCTGTTTTAATATCAATTTCGCTTAAAGGTGCAATGTGTAAAAAAGTTGAGTATCTATTAACGGAATTGCAATATGACATCCATAACTATGTTTTCAGTGGTGTATAAAGAACTTAATAAACCGTAATGTTTTTATTATCTTAGAATGAGACATTTCTATCTCCATAACCGCAGGAATCATGTTCCATCACTACCTTGAAAGAGAAGCAGCAGAAAACTGGAAGCTAGCCATAAACACCGTGAGTAGTGACTTTTCCCTTGTGAGTGGTGTAAAATATGTAGTTGGGATTGTTTCATGCAACTTAGTTCTCCCTCGCTCTGTTATGGGTTTGTTATGTGGGGATAAATGTGCTGTTGCGTTCGTGAGACAGCTTATTAGTACTCATGTCATTGACCTTAAAACAATATGTTACGGAAATCACTAACCCGTCGATCTTGTAAGAGATCTAAGACGACCGCGAAGAGTTTTCAAAATCAGAGAAAAAAGCCTATTGTGTGTAGTAAATGGTGTCTATGGGATGCGGAGGCGCGGGCTGTTACAATCATGTCATTTTTGCCGCTTGCATATTTGGGCTCATGCGGACGTGTCGAGTATAAACAAGGCTACGCTTTAACCAGTTCAGTACTGTCCACAGTAACACCTCATATTAGCCAGCTAAACTTTTACTACCCTGTTAGAAAACATATATAGCTGGATAGTTTCATGTGGTTCTCCTCCTTCGCCGTATTATGGGTTTGTTTGCTATGTTGGGAGAAATGTGCTGCTGGTTACGTTTTGAGGCAATCAGCTGATTACTATTATTATATTATATTTTATTTTATTTTATTATATTATATTATATATTAAGACCCTTGATCCTCACCTGACTATGGCTTGGTAAAACTTTATCCATGATGTGGTTTATAATAGACTGTGGTACAGAAACAATGACAATGTTACACACTCTTGTCTTACACACTCCTGTCTCAGCCGTTTTAGCAACTGTAGCTTCTTCGAAAGGGAGGGGTGAGCAGTGGGCTGAGCCCTTATTGCAAACCTGGTGCAAACTCGCAACCGAACCGCTAGATGTCGCTAAAAATCCCACACTGCACCTTTAAATATGAAACACACTTGTACAAATATACACTTCTGTTCAAAAGTTGTTGTTTTTTTATGAAAGAAGCCTCTTATGCTTATTATGGATGCATTTATTTGAAAAAAAAAAAAAAGAGTCATATTTATGTACTTGAATTTCAAGCAACCACTACCCCAGTATTCAGCGTCCCATGATCCTTCAGAAATCATTCTGATGCTGATTTGGCACTCAAGAAACATTTTTTTTTACTATTATCAAAGTTAAAAACGGTTGTGCCAAATATTACTTTTGTGGAAACAGAGACAGTTAAAAAGATCAGGAATCGTTTGTAACATTGTTTGTTTATATATTTATCAACTCCTTCGTTTGTGATTCTTTTTGATTGAATCATAAAAGCAATCTTTGCTCATATATTTTTGAGTCACTAAAAAGAAGAAATTTTCTTGCCATTTTTTTCATGGTACCCTCTGAGACAAAACATCCTGCATTCCATGACAAAGAGAAGAAAAATTACCTGGCACAGTTGAATATGCGAACAGGAAGTCTGCCTCTACCGGAATCTTGTGTCTTGGATTGGCATCTGTCTCTATCGTGTCATTGGACGGCCCTGAGTCAGTCTGTATGCCATCATCAAATTCTGAACCCCGACAAGCCTGCCGGTGAAAACACACGGCCATGTCAATATCTGCCTAGAGTGCACTTCAAAAAACAGGTTCACTCCGGGTATGGTGCGACTGAAATAGCATTAAAACAATAGACACCGTTGTCTGGAGTTGCTCCAATTTCTCCTCCTTCACTTCTTCCTCATCATCCTTTCTCTTCCCCAAATCCTCCTGTAGCCCTGCTCCTCTTACCTGGATGAAAAAGAGCTTTGGCTTGCCCACGAGGCTCTTGCACATGTCTCCTTTGAAGAGCGAGGTCATGCTCTTGATGGGAATGGCTCCATCCGTGCCGTAAATCATGCCCTCCTCGCCGTGGCTCAGCAAGATGCAGGCGAAGCAGGACCTGTCGCTGTGGTCCTCTTCTGAGACTGAAATACATACAGACAAAATATGTGAGAGAAGAAAAAGAAAACTGTTTTGTTAAACTTTAGTTCTGTCAGGACCACTATCGTCAAATACGATTGACAATCAGGAGACAGTTAGGTTTGGCGGTATTGATAAAAGCAGGGAGAGCAGCAATAACCCCACTTAGGGTAAACAAAACAGCACCAACATAAATGTTTTGCAGATATAATTAATTCAAGATTTTGAAGTACAACATAATTCAAGATTTTATCCTGATTCAAGGGGAATCAGAATGCCATACTGACTGGACGAGAGGAGAAGCTGGAGATAGAGGAGAAATTAGCTTCTGAGAAACGCGATAGCTGCTGATAATACTGTGATAGGCATCAAATTCCTATAGGTAAACGTGTATCAGCTGAGAGTCACTGATGCAAGCTTGACTAATGTGACCTGCCAGAACTGACGCTATGCTTTAATTTATCTTAATGTAGAAAAACTGTGAGTTTGCCAACAGCAGGGGGTAATTTGGGCCACTACACAGTAGAGGGCAGCTGATTCAATACTGAATTGTTCCATTAGTGTCATTAAAACTGATTATATTAGCTAATAATTGTATATATATATATTTTTATAATGTATACCTCTAATGTAATTAGCTAAGAGACACACTAACACTTAACAACATATGTAGACCAACCCAAAACGGTCATTTATGTGGTTTCATGATGGTTATAGTGCATTAGAAAGCAGGTGCTTTTGTAATCAGTCAGGTGACAGTGAGGCAGCTCAATGGGTTTTGGAACAAAACTTTACACAAACAATCAAAATAACATATGCCATTATGCAATTTTCCAGCAATCAGGCAGCCCAACCAGTTTTAAATACTTTTCTGGATCTTACTGACATATAATACTCACATACATGTGTTCTTATATTTCATGTTTGTAATATAATCCCAGTAGAATTATGTAAGCCTAATTTGTAAACCGGATGTGACATTTTAATGGTCAGGTGTAAAGATGAATATTTTGGCCACTCACCTTCTTTAAGTAGACGCTCCATATTCTTACAGGTCTGGTCATTGTAGATGCAAACTTCAAAACCCAAGCTTCTAAAGCACTTGAACAGCTCTCCAGCATCCCGATCTGTGCCATTGCGTACATTCATCCCTTAAACACAGAGCATAAAGTTAGCGCCATTAATGTAACTGAGCATCGATCTAGTAACTACCTACATTCAACAGTTTTATTTTCTTGTAAATCTTTTAAAGACAGTCACTAATGCCTGTAGTGTTTGTACAGAAACTATAGTTATTATTAACAAGTTTAATTGTGTACTAAGTAGATTTTCTTTTTTGACTCATTGTCGTTCTTTAGTATCCTAATATTTTTTACTTTATAATAAAAGTAATTTGTTTGTTTACTTTTGCAACAATATAAGGGGAGCAAATCTGATTTTTTTTAATTTTACATCTCATTTTTTAACAAATCAGTTGTTGTTAAATGTTTTCAGAAAAATAAAAAACTTCATATCATTGATATAATTGACAAAAATCAATGCAGAATGATGGCATTCATTTTTGTTTTATTTTTGTTTACCAATAATGAACAGGATATTAACTTTTAGGTAGAGGCTCATAATAATTAAAACAGTTCAGTATGTATTATAAGCAATATATTCAGGTGTTTTTTTGCTGGATGTGCCAATTAAAGCAATAAGCAATTTAATATTGATTGTTCAACACAAAAAGTCATGCAGATGAAGACTCACCTGTCTTATCATCAAAGTTCTTGTTGTTGATGATGATGCACTTGCCAATGCTCCGGCTCTGGTGGCTCATCTTATACTGGAATGTTGGTGAAACAATCCTGAAATGGCTTTCAGTAGATTGCAACTTCCCATCCTTCTTCTTACTGAGAGACAGAGATGGACAGTTAACCAATCTATTACAGGACCATCATTCTATATATTTATTTATAAAACTTACCTTATTGCTTTTTTATAAAACGGTTAGTTCGAATCCTTGATTCTGATTGGTCAAGACAAGAGCTATGCTTTATTCACGATAAAACACGGCTATGACCGCTTCACCCAACGGTTCTATTGATCGGTTCGCTGCGCAATGTTGTTTTTATTTGAGCTTTCATGCATTGTTGCTGTTCACGTTCAGGGACTATTTTTTCTAGCGGAAGAACGGCTTTTAGTGATTTTACTTCAAGAAAGTTGAACTAATACATTGGGTTTTTTTCAATTCAATATTGTGTGGCAACCGTTTTATAAAAGGCAAGTGCTGTATCGTGAATAAGTAACGGCTGAAGGGGTTGCACAGCCTCTCGTACCTTATTGCTTACATATATACAGATACACACATATGGTTACACTTTATTTACGGTGTCATTGTTACATATAGTAACTATATTATTAATAACTATAAATTATGTATAATTACATGCAACTAACCCTAAACCAAACCCTTACCCTATAGTAAGTACATATAGTTACTTAATATTACTCACTACTCTGTAAAATCACAGTGTAACAAAGACACCTTAAAATAAAGTGTAATATAAGAGACATTAGTAGGTACACATCAAAATAATTTTAAAAAAAGCTCAATCCAACCTCAAGGAAAATACAACCCACGCCCATCAGAGAATAGGATTTGGCAGCTAACCAGGATATCATGAAGACAATTAAATCCCTTTATCGATCATAATATTAGCTGCATGGTGTCCCAAAGAAATAATATTCCACATGCCTGAAGCAAAATTGTCACAAACATCTCATTTCTCCCTTGTCAAATTTCCAAAGAATCCGTCCAGATTAGAAGGCCACAGTGGCCACTGGATGTACAATATGTGCCAGTATTCCAGAAGTCATCATGTTACCCAACCACAACAATGGGTTCATGCCTATACACACTCTCTAGCACACAAGAACAGTGGAGTGAATCACAGGTCTCCCATGTGATGTGGGACACCCCCCACCCCACTCCAACTAAACCCTACCTCATATACCATTTGACGGTTCTCCTACCTGGGCTCTTCATTAAATGGTACGCCACTCTGCATTGAAAAGTTCTTCTCTTCCTTCTAGATCTACTGAATTTGGCCCAAACTTTTGGGTGGATTTTTTCCTTGTTGTGCGGTGTGGTCTGTGCTAGGGTCCTGGCATGCTCTATACTCTATAAAGAGTGGAGTGGTGGCTCCGCTGGGCAGGGACGGCGCACGCTACCTGAGTCAGCACACACGCCAATCCCCAGAGCTTTCGAAAGGGCTATTCAAACCCATCGACCAAGGTCATGCAGGACATCAGCACACCTCTACTGACAAACATACTATCACACTTACATATTAGGGCTGTTACTCAGAGCAAGAAAACTCGAAAGTGCCATCAAATGTACAGTCTCTTTACATAAATGAATGTTTATTCACAAAGAAAGTAGACTGGTATAATTCTAATATGCAGGTTCTTTCATATTGAAAAGCAATGAAACATTATTATGAACATCTCAACCCACATTCAAATATTGCCAATATGATGCAAGAGTTACAGTAGCCATGTCATTTACAAAGAGGACTGTGGCGCCACCTAGTGTATGACATGACCTTTAACACCAGAACACTGCTTTCAACTTTTTTAATATTGGTCATCAGTGATCACAAATGTTTTTCTCAAATAAAAAACAGCCAGGTTTGGTCAATAGTTTGGTCAATAGTCATAGTTAGTATCTGCACATTTCATAAATTAATGGATGATGGATGGACAGACAGACAGACAGACAGACAAATGGACAGATGGATGGATGATTGGATTGATTACAGAAAACACAATCTCACCCAAAAAGGATAAATCTCCCTCTGCGGTCAGGTTTCGCATCTGCCACATCTCTTCCTCCATTCTTCTCTTGGTCCTCCTCCGTCACCTTACTCTCAGCAGCAGGGGTTTCTTTATCCATTCTGGAGCAAGAATGAAAGCTTACTGATCAGTAACTTTGGGGAAATAAAGTAGGCTAACCATGTGGAATTCCTGACAGGCTGAAACTGTGGTTATCAACAAGTTATACTGATAATTATTTTGACATGTTGTCCCCTTTTCCCTACAATGATTTTCCACTGTAATTTCCAGCAACAACAAAAAATATATCAGGGTAGCCTACTCGATATTGTCTACCATGGACATTAAAATAAAAGTTCTTAATCTGTTTGAAGATCTATTATTCACCAAGATTTAACAAGTAGATAACTGTACAACTGTTTATAAATTTATTTAGTCCCTTTCAAACAGTAGCTATAGCTAATATTATTTTTCTAATACTCAGTAAATTCACTTTCACTTTCACTTTGTGGTGTTATCTCAACTGGATGTCTAATTTAAAAAAAAATCTTTAAAAATCTTTTATTTATGGCTCAGAGGATAAATAAAACCATTATGTATGTATGAGTTATTGTTGGAGCGGATGAGCTATGACGTGTAGTCACAGGTTCACCGCGTTAACAACCACAGAGTATTGTCGAGGCCGGGCATATACTAGGCTACTGTAATACAATTACTTCAGCAATTATCGATGCTAATATAGTTTTAGTCATTTACGTGATATATTTAACCTGTTCTTCTACAGCTAACACTTTTACGAGCTATAAAGTTCTCACTTAAACTTTCCGATGACAAACTTGTCGCGTTTACGTCGAGACAAGTTTGACTTGACGTCTTTCTAAAGTGATTCGAATGTTTAACATTTAAATAGCAGAACAAACCTAATTAGTTTACAAACCTATAAATAGCCTATACATTTTTATTTCGTAATACTGCAGTGCTTTAATTAAGTGCAGAATTTGACTTACAGTAACAGTAGCTAAGTCCATAAACAAAGATGTTTCAGCAGCTTAATGTTTTCATAACATTACTAACGTTTCTATCGTTACTCTCGAAACTTACATTTCTGTCGGACCAGCCTCTGTTTTGCTCATTGTTCTCCCAAATAAGTCCAAAGACACAAACGTTACACTGAGAAAATGAAACTAGGGTACTTCCAAATGCATACCGAGCTTCCACTTCCACTCTGAGACTCTTGAGTGTGTCTGATGTATTTAAAGAAACAGTCCCAGATGAAGTGACAACTATTGTGCTCTTACTTCCTGTAGAATATAATTCAATAGAATATAATTCAAACAACTGAAACATGATAGTCAGACATAAACATTATTTATTTATGGATTTAAATGTATTTTATACATTCCAATAATTATAATAATAACAACGTGTGAGTAGGTGTTATTTATGTTTTTGTCGAAACCCAATGTTTATAGGGAGATCGAAGCTGACGAGGGAACCATGGCGATGAACTTCCACGTACACCTCCTTGAACTACTGCCCTATCCTACACTTAAGAGCGCGTGCACGCTACTACAGTAAGTAATTAATTGCGCAAGCCTGTCAAATGTCTTAAAAATGCCAAAGTGCAGTGTAGACTAAACCCACACCCCGAACATGACCCCGAAGCGGTATTCGAGGCTTCGCGTATCCCATCATGCATTTCGTCCAACAAAGGGCCCACAATGTCAAAAGACTAAACAAGGGGAAACTTTTGAATAGGCTACATTTAGGCTTACGTTTATGTCGATTAATTCATAAAGAAATATACAAATGCGCTTACGTTTATATGGCGATGAATTCATAAAGAAATATATATGCGCCCAGGGCTGTGTCTTGTTATATGGCATTCCCTCCCATAGCTTTTTCATTAAATGCCAACTGGTCTAGGCCAATAGGTCTGAACATGGCATTGAAGTATGTTTTCCTTTTTATTTAAAAAAAAAATAATAATAATATTCTCACATTTAATATGCAAATGTGCTACAAAGGTTACAGTTGCATAGTTAATTTAATGGCTAATTTACATTTAATAATTTAACATAAAAGTTATTTACTAACAGGGACACTATTGACCTTCTATTCATTAGGGACAACTTGACTTATTTGTTTATTTTATTTAGAAATACAAATTCAATAAGTATCCCCATTAAATTCAATTTAAAGTAAATAAATAGCTGTTTATCCCATAATGATTAATAAATGTGCACGGTTTCATCTTCTGACATTTGATTTTGGAAATAACTTTTTGTATTTACAGAATACTTTTTTAACATTTATAACACCAATGACATGAGATAAGAACAGACATTCTAATTTATATTATAACTTTTAAGAGTTACTTATATTGTTAATTGTGTTCGGATTTGCAGTAATTAACCTATAAGAAAAACAAAATTAGTAAAAAATGTAAAACTGTAAATCTCAGGGGAGTAGAAATATGCAAAATGATGTACTCTAGAGTCAAACATTTTATATTATTTCATAAAATTATAGAAGGATGCTTTTTATACAGGATTTCTGTTATATTTTAAATATTTGTAATGACTGTCAGTGGACATCATGTCACCATATTTTGAGAATGACTTAATCACGATATCTTAAAGTTATGTTGTATATAACAGCATGAACAATTAAATCTTATTTGAGAAAATGACGGAAAGCCATGATATGCTTCTAGAAACTATAAGGCATTCATATCATGTGCAATGGCCAATCTAGCCATGACTTCATTCACCTATTTAGAGCATGTCTGAAGGCTCTGACTAATGTACTCAAAGAGAACAACACCGTGATCACAATTCAGTGACATCTCTCAATGTAACTGACAGCTGGTCAACCAGTCAGCTGACTGGCAACAGCTAAAGAGGGGCGGAACTCAGTCTGCACCCACTGACATGTAGACAGGGTCTCTGTCAGAGAGCACATCTAAGTTTAACACAGGACAGAGACTGAGACTCAAGTGGGAACAAGGGACTGTCTGGGAAGCCTTGCTTTCCTGTACTGACTGTTTGTACAAGTTGTTTTTATATTTCTCTGGAGTTGCCGTCTTAATTGGATACAATTATGAATGTTCAAAAGTGTGCCAGGTGCGGGTTTGTGGTGTACCCAGCGGAGAAGATCAATCTTATCGGTCAGGTAAGGCTTTACCACGTGTGTCTCAATTAAAACGATAGTCCATAGATCATCATAATGAGATAATGTATTTTAAAGTTAAGTCTATCCATGTTTTCTATGGTGTGAGCAAGACTACGTTGGACCAATTAAAATTGGACAGATTTTCAGAAGGAGGAATTGTATTCAGTTCTTTTCATTTTCTCACGCTCTGCATGAAATGTCCCTCTTTTCTCTTTCAGAATTGGCACAAGTCATGTTTTCACTGTGAGGACTGTAAAATGGTTCTGACTGCCAATAATTTTGTGAGCCATCAGAAAAGGCCATACTGCAAAGTGTAAGTGTAATTTTTTGCTCGAATCTCATTTATTCAGTGTTTCAATAAGTCTGCATTATTTTTCTTTGTGTCATGGCTGAAGGCATCATTTGCTAAATTTGTTCCTTTCATGTGTTGAATATATAATAATTGTCTCTCATATATTATAGGCATAATCCAAAGAACAACACTTTTACAAGTGTTTATGAGACCCCAGTCAACATCAATGCCAAGAAGCAGTCTGTGGCAGCCAGTGAGGTGAGGCTTTGTTTACATCACAGACAACACAAAACACAACCAAACTTGATTTAACTCGCAAATACTGCACATTTGACACATTTCTATAGTAAAGAAAATAAGTACACCTCACAGAGAAAAGCTAAGGTTGTAAAAATTAAGAATTATGTAATAATTTAAGTCATATTTTGTTTTTCTGTAACATTATTTGAGGGAGTACAAGCGTAAAATTCACAAGCGTGAAAAAAATAAGGTAATCACATTGAGGTGTATTTCTATAAAGAATATATTAAATATTAAGTAAGGTGTAATGTACAGTCAGTTGAGCTTTATCACAAAATAATGGTATTTTATTTTGTGATAATGACCAGTTGACTACATTATAATGAATAAATAGTGTAATACGATTTAAATTGAAATTATTTTATTAGTTTACTTATGGAGACTTTAAAAATACTTGACTTTGGCTTTGTAACACGAGTATGTGCAAAGTTTTTAAATAAAATAAATGATCAATAAATGAAAACGTTATTTTAAACAATCATACAGATTCAGAGAAACTTTACAATTCTGCTTTTTAGACTGAATTTTAGTGGTTCAGCTTCCTGAATTAGAACTAGTGGCGGTCACTGTATACTGTCTTACATTGATATGCAAGCAAAATGTATTTAAAGATTTGAATATGGGTCATTTTGCTCGTAATACCCCCTATATAAGTTGGGTTAAAGTGTTGTTTTTAGGAGAGCTCAAAGGCCCTGGTGACTCTACAGGATTGGAATGAGAACTGCATCTCTCCAGTTATTTCTGTAGTGTGACATGATACTCTTCTCTGGCCTTCTTTATGTATTTGGTGTTTAAATTTGTACCACATGAACATAGCCCACCTCTCTTCCTATCTGGCGTCCTTTCCCTCCCTCTCTTTTTCTATATCTCTCTCTGTGAGATCCCCAGCTGCCCCTGTCTGTCACTGAGCTCTGCGATGGTGGTATTCAGAAGGACAAATTGCAAACCACCATACTTCCATTTCACATGTATATTGTGGTGGCAAATGATCAAAAGACAACTAGACCCACTGACATTGCATATCTTTGAACATGACTTTGCTTGTGCTTGTAGGAAGCTCACTGACAGCTTCATGATTATGTCCCTCTGTTTTTTTTTTAGAATAGATATAGAGAAGAAGGGGAACGTTTTATGTCCACTTTTCACTATGACATGAGATCCAAAGAAATCGAGCAAGCTCGTGTGGCCCAGCTTGCCAGTCAGGTGAGTAACTCCCTGATAAAAAATATAGACTGTAGGAACAGAAATCCATTAAGTTTAAGTTTAGCCATGGACTTCAACATATGACTGATTTCTAATCTTTCTTAAAACCAGCAAGGTTACCAAACTGAATTTGTGGGCCAACAGTCATTTTACTCAGGCAGCGTTACCAGCCAGGAAATTGTACGTGTGACCCAGGCTCAGAAGACCATTAGTGACGTGAGTGATCTGATTCAGGCATAAAGGGCAAATGCTTTTAAAAATGTTCTTGTTATCATCCTGCATCAATAAATGGATAAATAATGATGATGTATTAAAAAGAAAAGTGACCTGACATGGTAATTTGGGCTGCAGGTGGAATACAAACGAGGCCATGAAGCGCGTGTGACGCAGTTTACCTCTGTAGCAGACACACCTGAGATGATACATGCCAAGACTGGAGTCTCATTGGCCAGTGATGTAAGGACAAATTGTTTCAAATCTTAGCCCTGTTTATGTGATAATTAGGTATTGCACAAATTGTGTCATGTCTGTGATGTGTTTTGTTGGTTTACAGGTGAAATACACAGAAGAATATGAACAATCTAAAGGAAAGGGCAGTTTTCCAGCCATGATCACTCCAGGATATGAAATGGCAAAGAAAGCCAATACACTGGCAAGCAATGTAAGCAAAACGAGTCTGTTGCAAAAAAAAAAAAAACAACAACTGCTGTTTCTTTCCAACCAGGTCCAGTATGAGTTTATTATTCCTTGTTTTTATTTATTTAGTTGGAGTATAAGAAAGGCCATGAAGAACGAGTATCAAAGTACACCGCTGTGACGGATACTCCTGACGTACTTTTAGCTAAAAATCAAGGGAAGATCGTCAGTGATGTAAGTGAATAGAATCTTGAAAATATTTGTGGCTGAATAGAGTTACGACATCACAGAAGTGAGTTAGCATTTTAGCACTCCTGGTTTTCTCGCTCTAAAGTCTATGGGATTTTTGAATTGGTTTTTCCTACATCGCCTGAAATAAGGTCTGTGGTGAACAAAGCCTCTAAATATTTTCACATTTTTATCTATAACATAGTATAGAACACACAGTTATAACCTGCTTGTGTTTTTTTAACTTCATTGTGTCTGCTCGTGTTTTTAAAAAACTTTATATAGGATTCAAATTGATAAATTGTGGATTAACTTGTAAAGATTATCATGATAGACAAAACGTGTAAGGGTCACAACTCTTTGTTTAAGGGATACTACACTTTTTTTGGAAATTGGCTCATTTTAC